GTCGTATGGCCAGGAGTTTGTCGGAGCAGGAGCGTCGTATGGCCAGGAGTTTGTCGGAGCAGGAGCGTCGTATGGCCAGGAGTTTGTCGGAGGAGGGTACGGCCAGGGACCTGTCGGAGGAGGGTACGGCCAGGAGTTTGTCGGAGCATACCCCCAGGGGCATATTGAATACACCGCAAGACAATCAAACCCTGTGGGAACGTACTCCAGTAAACAGCTGGATTCTGCCACATCCCTTCAATTGCACAGTGCATATGGCCGTCACTCTGTCACTAGTGAATCCGGTAGTTATGCAGCTGCTGTAACCCCTCAACGGGTCTCGTCTCTTTACCAAACATTCGAAAACTACGACTACAGCCCGTCAACTGAACCACCTTCACAGTCACTTCCAGGGGAACTCGCTAAGCTCAGAATCCACGGCCCACAAGAAACGTTTCAACGTAGGCCTCCGCAACGAGCAGATGAAAGATGGCATAGCAAGCGGACGGGCACGTACACCACGCATTCTCCGATGCAACGTGCAGTCGGTGGTCACCAAGTACAGGCACAGCAGATTGGCTATGAAACTTCAGTGCAATCACAACCTGTAACGTCTGGGCTCTACAGGTACGGGGCGGAATCAAGCTCCGACCACGGGAAGGCTCCAAGAAGGCCATACTCGGGATCATCCAAAAATAGTAAGTTTCTTTACTTTAAGCACGTGCTTCTGAAAGGGACACTATGAAAATAGAACAGATCTTATTAGTAAATCGCGTCCGCGAGACCCCCCCCCCCCCCCCTTGCTGCGAAAGGGCGCTCGGTGTGCGAGCCAAGACTCAAAAGTTTTGGTAGCAACGCCTTCTTGAAGTTCTTGTCACCACGAAGTCATAGATCTTGGCGGCCTAAATAAGGCCTAAAGAAGATGTTAAACGCGAAAATTTTGGCATCAATTTTCTCATGGTGGTAAAATGAACGAGTGGGCCTCGCCCAAGGAGATTCAAAGAAACTTTTTTAAACCTCCTTGGCCTAACCAAGTGACGTTGAGTTTACTCGTGTTTATTGTAGACCAAATACTTTGTCACTCACTTGTTTTAACATGTAGTAAAACAGATAGCTGGGCGAGTTGATATGAATCCATAATATAATTTTTAGCACTCACAAAAAATGGGTCAACAAAGAAACAGACGAGTGCTAACTCACTTTAGTGTCCCTTCAACCATAATAAATAAACTATTGCCGTTTAAACGTGGCTCCAAGCAGGTACGCAAGATTATCCGAAAAAATTTTTGGCTGGCAAAAAATTTGTCATATAAAGCCTTGTTATCGCTATCACAGCGTGGTTTTGGTATGTATAAAACCCGAAATTTTTATTTGGGCTACAATGACAGTACAAACGAAACGACGCTATTAACTACAGTGGCATTTCAGCACGCGATGCCACGTACAGCCAACCAAAAGACGACTTCGGACTTTTCTTCGGCATACTCGGAGTAAGCAGTTACAGGCCAATCCTTTACAGTGGGCTCCATTGTATCGGCCGACTCGGCATCTATGCAGCTAAGCTATTACACATCTTCCCGCGAAAAAATTCGCCAGCCAGCCATTCAACTGCGAAGCAAGCATGTACAGCGTCCCTTGCTCTGGTTAAAAACTTACCCCCCCCCCTCTTTTTTTTTTTGCTTCATAGCAGGAATCAGCACCCATACACGGGAAAAATTCACGGGGCAAGAAAGTTTGAGAGGACTTGTACCGTGAATCTGCGCTGTTTTTCCGATATGAAGCAAAGCCAACAAGCTCCAGTTATTACTCTTTCAAGATTCTGTTCTTGAGCAAATTATACTATTCACGAATTCGAAGTCTCATATATCTACATATTTATTTAAAAGCCCCTTACAGGCTCCTAGAGGCATTGTGTGAAGGTAGTGATACAAGACACATTGCAGGCGCGTATAGTTTGCAAAAAAAAAAATCAAAAATATGAGGACAGCATAAAACGTGATATTGTAACACATGTTGGGAACGCATGATACAATGTGATCGCATTACTTTCTATACAACGAAAACAGGCAAGGAAAAAAATACTTCCAATCGTGATAGCTCGTTTGCACAAATATTACAGAACGGATGCTGCATAGGGTGGCTTGTACAAGAAATATCTAATGTGTGAGGTTGCACAGAAACGACAATAAAGGCTCTGAAAAAAAAACAGGAAATAGTTGTGCAATAAAATATTACTTTAGCAGATATTTGTTCAGTATATCCTTAATTTTTTTTGTTATTCCCAGAAGCAATGATGTTGGGAAGGTTGTTCCAAATGCCAATGAATTTTGGAATATTGGAATTGTTCAATCAGTCTTTCCGTCAATGAGCATGAAGTTAGTCATTATATAAATGTTGTGACCTATATGGGGTAGTTTGAAGCTGTAAAAATGACGGTGCGTTATAGATGTATTTATGAAACAATGCTAGCCGGACGATGTCCCGACGATTGTGCAAAGGAGGAGAGGATAAGTCGAGTATTCTTTACGTAATGTCTTTGTTATAGTCGTAACAACGTGAAATGAAATGTGCCGTCATATTCTGTACAGAGTCGACATTAAGGGGCGAAGCCCCTGATGCCATGGGTCGTTCCCTCCTCCTTAGTCGTAGTAGTATGTAGCCCCCTCTAGTTTGAGTTGCTCAATAGGTGGCGTTGTGTATATGACATAGCTAGATGACGTTAGTTGTTGTCACAGCATATCCACGGAGTAAATGATGAGTAGGGCGAAGCGTCTATTCGTCCGGACGGAAGCACGAACGAACGGACGCTGCGCTCCACTCATAATCATTCACTGCATGTATATGCTGCAATATTTTTCGATTATTCTTGATGGGGAGACCAAATGAATGCCGCGTACTCGAGCTGAGATTGTACAAATGCTAGATATTCTATTTTACGAATATCACTAGTCATCATCATAATCGGCCTGCCTACGCGTGCACTGCCGGGCAAAGGCCTCTCAAATGATCCGCCAATCAACCCGGTCTTGTGCTTTCCGTTGTCATCTTATACCTGCAATTTCTTTATCTCGTCGGCCCACTTAACTGTCTCCCCTTTGTGCGTTTACCTTCTCTGGGAATCCAATCAGTTGTCCTTAATGACCAGCAGTTATCGTGCCTATACGCGCTACATGCCCGGCCCATGTGCATTTCCTCTTCTTGATTTCAACTATGATATATCTTTAACCCCGGTTTGTTCACTGATCCTCTGTCCAATTCTTCTCTTTTAAGGTTACACCTGTCATTTTTATTTCCATCACTCGTCGTCCTCGGTTTAAGCTGAACCATCTTTGTAAGCATCCAGGTTTCTGCTCTGTAGCTAAGCACCAGCAAGATGCAGCTGTTATTAACTACCTCTCGAGGGTTAGGGGCAGATTACCATTCATGATTTGAGAATGCTTGCCGAATATGATCCACCCCATCCTTATTCTAGTTATTTCACGCTCATGGTTCGGCTCCGCGGTTACTACTCGTCTTAAGTAGACACATTCCTTTACAACTTTAAGCGTCTCCCCGCAAAGTGCTGTTTTCTGCCGAGACTGTTGCACATTAGTTTTGTGCATAGTAACCTTCAGACCAACTTTTCCGCTTTATGTGACCAGTTCTGTAATCATGAGCTGTAGTTCGTTTACTAACTTATTCATAAGGGCAATGTCATCAGCGAATCGAAGGTTACTGAGATACCCTCCATTAACTCATATCCCCAACTGTTCCCAATCTATGGTCCTGAAAACCTGTTGTAAAACGTGGTGGATAGCATTGGAGAAATTGGTTCTGTGATTTACACCCTTTTTTATTGGTATTCTGTCGCTTTCTTTGCGGAGAACTATGGGGGCTGTGGATCCGCTGTACATCTATTCTTTGATGCCTTGATTCCGTAGTGCCTGCATTACTGCTGATGTCTCGACTGAGTCAAATACCTTCTCGTAATCTATGAAAGCTATGAATAGGGGTTGGTTGTATTCAGCGCATTTCTCTATTACCTGATTCATAGTATGAATATGGTCAATTGTGGAATAGCTGGCACGAAATCCTGCTTGGTCCTTTGGCTGATTGAACTCTAATATCACTCAATTCTATTAGCGATTATTTTTGTAAATAGTTTGTAAGAACAGAGTAAGCTGATCGGTCTGTAATTCAAGTTTTTCACGTCTCATTTCTTATGGATTAAGATTATGTTGGCGTTCTTCCAAAAATCTAGTACCCTTCCCGTCAAGATACCCGAAGATTCTTCGGGACATACGCCCCTATAGTTGGTCAGCTCCCTTACTTTACCAGGTGTTCAGTCACGGAACCCATATATTGGTCGTGGCTGCTGTCCTGACGCGCCCAACCATGAGCTGTTCAGCCATAAGGTCTTAGCAGCCGTGCAGAACCGCCACAAATCCCTCTTGGGATTGGCTGACTGAATTCACGAGCGACGCGCCGAACCATGAGCTGTTCAGCCACAAGGTCTTAGCAGCCGTGCAGAGCCGCCACGAATCCCATTTGGGATAGGCTGACTGAATTCACGAGCATCACCACTCCCCCTGCTTATCTCGAAGTAGTCCGCCACGCGTTGAATCGGGGGCCACGGAACTCTGCTGCTGATCCGAAGGTGGTGGGTTCGACTCTGGCCGCGGTGGTCGCATTTCGCTAAGGACCCTCAAGGCCTGGGTGCTGTGCAATATCAGTGCAGGCTAAAGAACACCACGTGGTCAAATTTTGAGAGCCCTCCACTGCGGCAGCTGTCGTATCGTGGATTTGCGATTTAAAGCGCCCAGACATTATGAGCTTTCACGAGAAACTTAACGATCCTCGTAGATGAAAAGACATACGTTGTGTTTTCGGTGGAGGAACAAGCAGATAGTTTCAAGGCAAGCTCATTGATATTGATTCGTCCAAGATAACATAACGCAGACCTTTCATTTGCTATAAACAACTGTTATATGGCTCAATTCAACTGCAGAGTGGCCTCCTACCACGCCATCGGGTTTCTACACCAAAAGCCAATCAAGTTCAGACGAATCGTATCAACAAGGGCTTCAGTCGTGGTTCTTGGAACTCTAACAATGAAAGGAAAGTTAGCGAAAGCCATCGCCCAGGAGGCACCAGTCAAGGTACGTCTTGCAACCTACAGGCTGTTTAACAGGCTGTTGAACAAGCAAATTTCCACGATACTTTATGTGACCAGTTCATTGCTTCGTTGTCAAAGTTCTGGTGAATATTACAATATGTTTATGCCGATGGCTTCTACTCGTCTGCCTTGACATTAACTTAGCTATCAAATGTAGATCGGAACTACCGACTTTTCGTCATGTGTAATACTGACTGAAAATCGTATTATGTCGCAAGAAACTTCGAAACTGGTGTGTAAGGACTCTCAAAAGAAAAATAGTGTGCCGGTACTTGAAGATGTCTTCCAGAAAGAAGTTATGGCCTTTCGAAAAATCCTGCATGAATTAAACTTCAGGCGCAGTGTCTCTACGTCGTTAAATGCGCAAGGTGGCACTCCGATCATATTGTGGATGTCATTTTACTTTTAACGCAGCTGCTCTAAGGTCCTATTAGTATCTATTAGTATTATCCGTTCCTTGCTAATGCTACCTTTTCAATTACTTACTCTTCCCTAATGCCACTGCGTATCCCGTGCAGTTTCCACATATACTATCGGAAGCAATATGAGCAAGGACACACACGAGCACGTGGCGGCCATGGTCGGTCCACGGGAAAGGTGCCACGTACTTCTAACTGTCGGCACTCCCGCTTTGTTAGATACACAACTCCAGCTGATTGTCTGCCCCTTGCAACAAAAAAAAACTGATTATGTGATAACGTCACCCTCTGATGTCATAATTCGCATATTACCAAGAGCTGTGATGTCACACCACATGCCATCACAGCATGACGTGATCGCATGGTATCGCTGCTTCGTCATCAGTCGGCTTGCTTTCGAGGCGCATGGAGTGCAGAAAGTTTGCAAGCCTCAAATACCAGAGGCAGTGCAAAACCACGGTGCAAAAATAGCTGGGTTGCTACGAAGTACGAGTACAGTCGAGGGAGGGTAAAAACAAAGGTGGCTTTAGCCTTGAAGTTATCTTAGTCGAATCCACCAGGCCCCCTGTATTGCTTTCATTTGCGTGTGTGCGTCACACAGAAAACCAAGATGTACGATTTAAATATGTTGCTGTGGGGGGTTGCTCCACGTGAAGTCCCGCAGACGCGCAACGGTGTATCATGCATACATACGGCGCGTCGTATCAACAGACCCGTGGTGGGAGTGACAATCCGTGAAAATCGTCCCCCTTCTCACTTTATGACAGCCATCAAAGTACTCGTCGGGTTTATGTTGGAGGCTCTTTGCCATGTGCTCGCGTGTTCCCGATCATATTGCTCACAACAGTACGTATCAATGACAGTTTTCAATGGCGCTGTGCGGCAAGCCCGCGGTGTCTAGCGTGGTCACGTGGTCGTGACGGTGAAAGCCGAACGGTGGTTACGTGTCTAACGGACCGGTTACGTCATAATACAAAAAGAAGCACGCACATGAAGGGCGAGGGGGCGTAAGTATTCTTTTGCACGAAAAGAAAATCTGGCTAGCGAAGCATTTTCTGTAGTATTGATTCGCCATTGCGGCACGCCTGTACAACCTATACTCACTGCGACGTACCCTGCTCCCCTTTTTCAGTGACTTCCCCGAGCCAGTCTTCCCCGTCGATGGACGGCGCCGCATCAACCAGTGGAACTGTTGCGTCCACTAAAGTTAGGGCGAATCATTTCCAGCTTAAGATGCAGACTAATATAGTGTTGTACCGCTACAGTGTTGAAATTAGGCAAGTTGACGAGAACGGGAAGACTCTGCCAGAAGGCGAGAAAGTTGGCACTTCCGCCAAGCTGCGTGCGTTCGCAGTGTTCGCCAACGCACTCGACGATCAGCGCCCTATTTTCGACGGACAGGAATCATTTTACTCGATGAAGGACCTGCAACAGGGCCGTAAGAAAATTGTCAGCTTGGGTGGAGAAAAAGATAAACGACATTATAGCGTCCGTATCCATGACAGGAAAGAGCTGCAACATTCAGGTCACTGGACATCACTGGCCGCAGACTTTGTGCAAGCGCTTGACGTAGCCATTCGCTGCGCCCTGTCCAATGACCGCATGCGCATTGGCAGGGTCCTGTTCGGCAAAGAAGATGACGAAAAATTGGTAAAGCGATTTGGTGAGACTGGTTTGGAACCCTACCGTGGCATTCTCACCAGCGCCCGCCGGGGGCAGTCGGAAATGTTCTTAAACGTGGACACGATACTGACTGGCTTTTACAAGACCTGTCGACTCACCGATCTGCTGCAGGGTTTAGGCAATACTGCCCAGACGATAGCTTGGCCACTTAACGAGGTTGGTGTGAAGTTTCTCAAAAGTCTGATAGGCTTCAAGATCGAAGTCAGGCATCAGGGTTACACACGCGTTCGCAAAATCGAGTCTATCACGCCGGAAACTGCCGCACAACTAAAGCTTGGGGAACCAGAGGACTCGACAACAGATTCAATAGAAAAGTACTTCACTAAATATGGTGGGCTTCGTTATCCTAATCTTCCCTGCGTAAAGGTTGTCAGTAGCAGGACATGCTATTACCCTTTGGAAAAGTGCTTCTTGAAGTTGGGACAAAAAGGCACCAGCAAACTACCGGTTGAGTTGGCGCGTCCCAAAGAAAGGTTTGAGTTTGCCATAAAGATTGTAAACGAATTGATCGAAAAGCGCGAACAATACTTTGGTCCCTTCGTCAAAGAGATTGTTTCAGAACCTGTCGAGACGGAGTACAAGATCTTGCCTATCTTGCAGACTAGTCGCACGACGGACCTTGCAGGCGAAGTCAAGTGGAAAATAGTGAACACGTGTGAAACCAAAGCGTATATTAATGACTTCATAAACGGTATACGGGAGGTAGGAGGTGAAATGGGTGTCGCAATGTCCGATCCCATGCTTGAAGGGCGGCGCCCTCCGGGTATTAAACCCGACCAAAACGACCACAGTGGATTCCACATCGTCGTTTTTGTTTTGAATAGCAAGAACTCCGTTCACTACCCCCGCATCAAATATTTGGCCGAAATTAAGTACGGCTTGATAACTCAGTGTGTCGTGCACAGCATAAAAATGAAAGGACGTAATTTTCAAATGAACGTAATGCGCAAGATAAAGGCAAAGCTTGGCGTCGTTGACAAAGCCATGCCAGTCGACAAGCTCTCATTCGAGGATGTCCTCGTCATGGGCGCCGACGTGAGCCACCACAGCCCCAATGAGTCGAAGCCTTCCGTCGCCGCCATCGTCGCCAGCATCGATGACTGCGCCTCTCGCTACGTTGCTGCAATCCGCCCTCAGCAGAAGTTCAACAATAAGAAACGCGTCGAAACGATTATGGAAATGACGAGTATGGCCAAGGAACTTTTTGGTTACTACGCAGAAAAACTGCGAAAAAATCCCAAGCACATATTATTCTACCGCGATGGCGTTAGTGAGGGAGAGTTCCGCAATGTTTGCGGAACGGAGCTGGCAAACTTGAAACGCGCGTGCCGGAATGCGTTTGGTGTTGAGCCGAACATCACGTTTGTGACGGTCCAGAAGCGGCACAGGACCCGCTTCACGCTCAATGACGGTAACGTGCCTCCAGGCACGGTTGTCAACACGACCATCACGCAAGAACCGGAGCGCGAGTTTTTTCTGTGCTCCCACACTCCCGTCAGAGGCACAGCTCGGCCCGCCCATTACCGCGTGTACGTCGACGAGTGCGACCTCCCACCCGAGAGGCTACAGGAGATCACGTTCAGCCTATGTCACATGTACGCTCGCTGCGATACGCCGGTCTCCATCCCAGCGCCAGTCTACTACGCCCACCTTGCTGCAGCTCGTGCGAGCTGCCACATGAAGGGCAATCCACAACACACCACGGATCCCATCAATATTGCAGAAAGCGTGAAAAAAAAGATGTTCTTCGTTTAGGAAAGGGCCCTTTTGTCGTGCTTCTCGACGTCTCGTAACAGACGTCATGGACTATGGCTGCTTAGTGCACTTCATACTTTATTGCAGTGGTCTTCAGGCAGCCGCTCATTTGTGTCCTAGCTACCATCACGCAACCAAGAAACTTCAGTTGAGTGACCATCCGAAGACCAGTGCTACCCTTGGACTGTCCTCACTTTTTAAATATATCTTTAAGTTCACTTCCTTGTCCTCACTTGAAGCGCACACTCGTCATTTTATTAACACTCACCATTAGTGTAGTTTTATGATTTCACATCAAGCATGTCTTTGATCTCCATACGCATAAACAAGCCTTTATAAAGACACTCTTCCAAGTGTGCCGCATATTGGTGTTTGTACTGTGACAACTGCCGAGGTCTTCCTCGCGATTAAAGGCTATATACTGTCTGACTTCTGACTCTTGTGCATTTTGTTATCCTGCTGGATCTTCCGCCTGCTGCTAATATAAGGACGAACAACTCCCAGTGCTGTTAACCAATCCTAGCTAGTCTTCTGTACCAATCTGTAGAACTCTGTGGTGTGCTACGAAGGAGATGTCGGTGTCCTTCCGCTGTGTGGTTTCGTAAGCATGGCTTGCGCAGTGTCTTGCGCAGTGTCTTCGTGTCCTCATTTTCGAGAACGACTCAGAAGTTTAGTCCTCAAAGTCGCAGCTATCTAAACTAGATTGAGTTCCCGAGAGCTACCCTGTGTAGAAGACACGTCGTTTAGACAAGTCTATATGTGATGTTCTCAGACGGTTGCAATAAAAACTTCCAGTTGTTAATCTGTTTATATATAAGTGGTTATAACAGAAGAAAAGAAGAAAAAAGTGTCTTTGTAAACGCATGTATTTACTTCCCACATGTTTGAATGAAATTTCGCGGCATATCTTTACTAGCCAGCAGAAAGTACAGCGTGTAACTTATGACGCTACTAACCAGGGAAGCTTTCTTCGAGTTTTAAACTTGGCAACGGCAAAGCTACCTACGTTGCCAGATCTTGCGTAGATGCGCAGTAAATCTGCAGTAGTGTTAGCACTGGTAAAAAAAATTTAGGCTTGTTTTACTATTATTGACTTCCTTGGAATAAGTTTCGTGCTACGATATGGTACATATATAAGCCAACGGGTGCATGCGACGTGTAGGAAACACCATTTCTTCCAGACTTTGTGGCTGCTAACCAGCACATGTCGTTCGATTCCAGTGTAAGGGTATAAATAGCCTTCAAGCTGCTGTAGTAGGATTTCTATGCCACAGTCGTAGAATTCTGTGCGTGCGCTTGCGTGTGTGCTCTCGCTTGTGATCCGTTCATATGCGGTATCATACTCATATGTTTATGCGAGCATCATCATATGTATGATCACATCTGAACATGGTGTGAACAGGTCTCTACTGGTATATGCAGTGATGCGGATTGTCACTGTACTGTTGCATGAAGGCGTTAACAGCCATTAATGTACGAGCACAATTCTACTTCGTTTATTCTATACTTTCATAATATACTCATCTCAGCATAGCAACGCACACGCGCATATAACAAAATAGGCGCAAACCTCTAGTAATGAACTAACCGTTTGAGTCGGCACTATTCGTTTCTTATTATAACTAGGTGGTAAATTTTTCTAACCTGCATTATACTACCTTCACTTCCTAAGAGGATCGTGCTTTTTGTCACGATGAATGGTCTATGTTTAGTTTAATTAGCATGCCGGACTCTCCCCCCCCCCCTTTTTTTTTTTCCTTGCACAACTCGAGAGTTCCACGGACCACAGCAGCTAAACGAGTGTGCAACAAACATATACGCTGTATACTCCATCAAGCGTTATCTCATTCGCGAGGACGATCGCACTTGTCGGTACCATCTGAACTAAAACTGCTCGGCCTATGATCAATCAGCTCTGATTACGAAGCGCTATCTTCCCACCCTAATCACAACACAACAAGGCGCTAAGAACGACAAACAATGTGCACAACATTAAACACTGGTGTAATGCGGGCAAACAAGGTGCAGCACTAAACACCGGTGTAATGCGGGGGCAACGATTCACACGTTTCGCGCAGCTTGTTTTCGTCGAAGAGGCCTCCCAACCGGCCCGCTTTGACGCACTCCATCAGAACAAGGGGTTGAAGCTACAGCTAACAAAAACTTCGGCCGATCCCACACCTGGAGTGAAGTTATTTCATGCGTATAGCGTTCAGCGAATAGACACCAATGTTGCATTTCGATGCATTTTATTGGCTTAGAGCCAGACGTTACAGGATCTATCGACGTGTATTTAGTAAGCGTAGGGGTTGCATGCCCATCATGGCCTTGCAGGCACGTCTACTACATTGCGTGTGCCGCGGTGGAGCTATATACTCAGCTGCTCACCCGAAGGTCGTCAGTTCAATCCCGGCGTCGCCGGTCCAATTTCGATGGAGGCGAAACGCCAGATGCACTTGTACTGTACGATGTTTGCGCACTTTGAACAACGCCAACACTTTACAGGGCTCCCCCGTATACGGAGTCTCGCATAATCATGTCGTGGTTTCCAAACCTGGCATCAGAGATACTGTTACGCAGAAGAAACTATCTGTGGAAAACAGTACTCAAGTCGTCTGCCTACATATTTCTGCTATAGGTAATTTTTATATGTAGCTATAAACGCTAGGTTTATAGATTTATATGAATATATATTAGAGATGTATGTGAACCCTAGGTTATTATTATTATTATTATTATTATTATTATTATTATTATTATTATCATCATCGGCTGGGCGCATAGCCGCGAGTTAACGACGAGGTGAAATATGTGAAGTACAGGTGCTCAACTGCCATTCATTTTAATTGGGAGCAAGAACCAATGTCACTTCCCGCTGATCCCTTTACCGACCGACGGTCTGTTTGAGTTCGGTATGTTGCTTTGCAATGTGGCATGGGTGACCTTCAGGAAGAGATCGCGTCAGTTCTCAATTATGGTGTTATTGAGGGCTTCCGCAGTATACCTCGCGTACAAACGGGGATAAGCTATAGGCACCGTTCCAAAGTGCGACCTTCTCATTTAATTTTTCTTTCTGCGCACCTATGCTTTGTTTTTTTTTTCGGGGGGTCTCTTGACTATCGGCCACGCTGCATGTTTTGTGGTGCGACTTCTCCACCAGTGTGTCCGCCAAACTCCTATTTCGGTGCGCTCGAGTAGTCAGACTTCGAGGAAGTATGACCTGCTGCCGAATCGTCCCTAGATGATGGCCACAGATCGTTTCGTCCCGCCGCGGTGGTCTAGTGACTAAGGTACTCGGCTGCTGACACGCAGGTCGCGGGATCGAATCCCGGCTGCGGCGGCTGCATTTCCGATGGAGGCGGAAATGTTGTAGGCCCGTGTGCTCAGATTTGGGTGCACGTTAAAGAACCCCAGGTGGTCGAAATTTCCGGAGCCCTCCACTACGGCGTCTCTCATAATCATATAGTGGTTTTGGGACGTTAAACCCCACAAATCAATCAAAATCCACAGATCGTTCACGCCGTGACGTCACCGGAAGAAAACAGTTCCCCTGAGTCTGCTGGGCGAAAGTGCGAATTTTTGCGATTGCGCAAATGTGCACATGTGATCTCTATAGCGCGTCTGATGGGGAAAAAAATTGGACGAGATGAAACACAACCACGCTTTTTGAATAATACTATACCTTTTCTAAAGCACCCCTCAAACACGCCTCTTAATGAACTAAAACATTTTATTAAAAAATTAATCAATTTACGGCAAAATAAATTAACTAATTAATTGACCATCCTTATCTTCGAGGGACCGCCGTGTCCTAGCTCGCAACTGGACAGACCACACTTCTGTTAGGGGAACGAAAGTGTTGGTGAGCGTGCTTCCCCACGGCATTACAATAGTTATAGCGCGGAACAAAACGACGACACAGAGACAAGAAGGACACGAAAGACACTTGTCTCTGTGTCTTTCTTGACTTCGTGTCGTCGTTTCGTTCTCGCGCTATAACTATCGTCATGCCATACCAACTAGCCCAAGCTGCCACACTTCCCCACAGCGTAAACCTCATAGCCGCCATCGCTGCTACCGTCAATCTAATCACGTTGCTACATTTTCCACCGCGTTTGCCGGCTAGAAAAAAAAATAACGGGACGTTTAAAATACACGTGATTCGTCGTACTGCGCAGTCCACTTTTCAAGAGAAAGCACTGCCACACTACCAACTGCCCCTGCCTGCTCTCAAAGCAGCAAAAGCACTCTCGCTCTGCATGCCACTGGATGACAGTACTCCTGCACCTTGCCTTTTCAGTGCTCCTGTTCTCTCGACAGAATTCGCCGTAAGAGTGAAAGGGAACTGACTGAACCTTACCAAATGCAAAAAAAAAGAAAAAAAACGTGGCCATGATGTTTACCTTCCATATCGTTATCATGAAAAGAGAGTGAATTTTTCTTAAAGAAATGTAATTAGGTAGTAGAGAGTTTTAGTACTGCGGAATGGTGCTACGTACGCATCACGCAAGTGCCTTGCGTTACGTGGCGTCGTTTGCCACTAATCGGGTTTTAGTACGCCGTAGTACCCGCGTACGTAACGAGCATGAAGGGTGTTGCGCCATCTGGTAGATCAAAACAGAAGCACGTGTTGTTGACAGCCAATGTGAGCCAATCCAAGTGTTATAGCCAGATTATGGCCATATTTTAAGCCACAGAGCCGGTTGGTGCTTGCCTTCAATGCCGCCATTTTGCAAAACGAAGTCTCGCGCTGTCGCGAACTTGTTCGAAAGCGGCGCGATCACCTCGTTCGTACGCACGCACGCATCTCATGCGTGCGTACGTGGTGGCTGCGTACGTAATGCGATACGTCTGCGTTGTGGTCTACGCATGCGCACTACGCAGAACGTGGCGTCCTTACGCACGCAACGCCGCCACGTACGCAGCGTACGCAGTACTAAAACTCTCTAGTATCATGCGGTACGTTTTACAGTGAACGCTGTTATGAGACCACAACAAGGGTCGTTTTGCGCCGTCGTTGTCCGCCGCTGAACTTCGTAACCAATATCGCGCGAAATTAGAAAAACAAGTGTTAAAACAATATCGAGCCCCATGTGTGCCAGTGTCAGTATGTTACCACTGAGCTATGCCGTTTTTTTTCTTTATTTCCGGTTACACATCGCACAGAAGGAGACAAGAGAATTGTATTACAACGCACAAAAAAAACGACAGAACGAACGTTACAACGGCCGTCAAGCACTGCTAAAGGATATCACGCCTCAAGACTCGCTCATATTAAGCAGGTCTTCTACACTTTATAACCATGAAAGAACACACCCATTTGTTCTTGCTACCTCGACAAACCTTGCTATACTTTCTTTAGGATACTGTCTTGCTGGTTTCCCGTCAACGTTTTATTGAAAAGCTGCCGTTCCAGAACGCTATATATT